ACGGCAATCGTTTCCATCCAGTATTCCCTGGAGGAACCCTCAAGGTTAGTGGTTTGAGCCCAGCAGCAGCAGCTCCATGAGGGAAAAAAAATCAGGCCCTCTGCTCCCACAGAGATTACAGGCGAAGAGAGGAACCCTGTGGAGCAGCTGGATGGCCACACACACCAGAATGGATTCACAGTATAAGTGGGTGATGCCTTCAGGGAGCCTGCAAAGGGTCCCAAGGAAGTGACACAGGGACCGGGAAAAGACTGGAAGCCGGGGGGGGGGAGAGAAAGCAACACACCCAGAGAAAGTCCCCAATGTGTGGAGCCTGGAAGACCTGAGACAGGTGGTCACTGAGAATGACATGGTGAGAGGTGGCCAAGGCATGTGTCTAACGGGCCACGGCCACCTCAAGAACAAGGCAAGGGGCTGCGCTGAGACTTGGTGCTGTAGGCTGTAGCTGGGTTAGCTCCGGCTCATAGCCATCTCCTGTACAACGGAGCGGACTGTCCCCAGCTCTGTCTTCACGATGTTCGCTCCAGCCCATGGTGTAGGTTCAGTGGCTTCCAACCTAGCATGGGAGCCCTGGTGGCGTACCGAGTACCCAAGTGCCAGGACAAGCCCACACCCACAGGACTCTGAGGAGGAGGAGGCTGTTCACTCGCATAAAGACTTGTTGTCAGGCGCCATCGAGTGGGTTCCGACCATTGCGATCCTATGCACAACAGAACGGAACACTGCGCAGTCCTGCGCCATCCTCACAACTGTTCCTTGCTGAGCCCTTGGCTGCAGCCACTGCTGTCAACCCACCAGAAACCAAAAGGGGCAGTTCTACTCTGGTGGGCACGGTTGTAGAAGTGGCGGGTTCAGTGGCAGTGGGTCTGGTTCCAATCTACGGGTCTCATGGCTACCACTGCATCAAACCATGTTCTCCAGGGACGCAGGGGTGTCCTCGGGCTAATTTCTGGAGATTGCTCGGCCTGTCTTCTAAACCCCAGGTGACTTCACAAGTATCTGAAATACTGGCGCCACAGCTTCCAGCATCAGTGACACACACGCTAACCTGACAAACCGACCAGCGGTTGGGAGCTCTAGGTTTGTCTCCCCGCAAGGCTCT